CTGGGTAAGGAGTGCTAGTGAGAGCACGTTCTGCGAGGGGGGGCATAGAACAGCCAGAGACACTGGGTAAGGAGTGCTAGTGAGAGCACGTTCTGCGAGGGGGGGCATAGAACAGCCAGAGACACTGGGTAAGGAGTGCTAGTGAGAGCACATTCTGCAAAGACAAGCATCAAAAGTACTGCCATCATAAGTTCTAGCAGGACAGCCCGTGATCTTACCCAGCTTCAGCTCCCCAAAGTTTCCACAGCCGATCTTTTTGCCAACCCGGAAGTTGGGCCCCACCATAAGGACCCCGGAGGAGGCGGAGGAGCCCGAGGGCCGGGCGTGCCCGCTCCGCCCCGGCTGCGGTTTGCTGCTCCTCACGGGCCTATCTCCATCCTTTGGTTGGTCCATGACGATAGCAAAAAGGTCGGGGGACAAACCACGACCGTGCAGCAGCTGCCCGAGATGAGCTACACGTCGGTGGGGCAAGTGCCACCTTCGTCCCCGTCACTGCAACCACACCAGGGGTGTGCCCACCAATGTCCTCCACATTGGGAAGGGACACAGGACGGACACCGGACTCCTGGAGAGGAAGACAGAGAAACCCAGGAGGTTAGAACTATCAGACAGGTGTGCTGAAGAAACAGGTGGAAAGCAGGCCAGCGTAGGCCAGTGTCCTTCACCACTGTACCATCGATGCAATATCTACCTTCATAAATGAAAATACATAAACTTACACATTTAAAGCATCAGAATTTTTGTGGTTAAAGTGTTAATGAGAGTTTGCAGGCAGACACAGCACTGGCTGACAATGCTGGTCATTCTCCAGAACATTTTTTTTTAACTAGATGTGTTCCATAAGACTTTTGGTACACTATTACTATGACGGGATATGAGAAAAGCAGTAAGCGTATTGTGTGTTGATCTCCTCCTCCAGTACTACTCAAAATAAACAGTGGGTCTGAAATGGCACAGGAAAGACCAGGAAGACCAATCAGAAGCCTTCTTCAGTGGAACCAGTAGGGCTGGCGCGCAGAAAATGCCTCAACATCAATATTTTAAATCGACATATGAATTTTTAAATTTTAATAAAATTACCATTATGATTTCTAAAACGCTTCAATTCATTAAAAAAATGTTAAATGTTTAACTTAAATGGTCAAGTTGATTTTCTAGAGGAAAATTAATTGTTTAGATCACAGGTGTCAGACTTCAGTCCTGGGGGGCCGGAGCCTTGCACATTTTTGGGTTTCCCCTCGTTTAACACACCTGATTCAACTTCTTGTGCTAATTACCACACAGCTCTTGAGTTGAATCATTTGTGGTGGAACAGAGAAAGAACTAAGCTACACAGGGCTCCGGCCCCCCTGGACTGCAGTTTGACACCCCTGGTTTAGATCAATCAACCAATAGATACAATAGTCGACAGATTAATCAATAAAAAATAGTTGTTAGTGGCAGCACTAGTGACCAGTAAGGTCATTCCTTTGCAGATGCCCACATCTTGGACACGACGAAGCTTGATTAAGCTGAGCAGAAATAAAGTTTCGGGCTCACTCACATGAAGAGTGTTCACCTGATAAACAGCCCTCTGGCTGACTGAGGGAGTCCAAATGAGGAGCACGATAGCATAACCCTGCAGAGAGCCTGTAATGGAAATCAATGCAATGGATGGGTATGATCTGAGGCCGAGTTTGAATTACAATCCACTCGATTTGCCTACGAATAAAACAAAAGAAATGTGCAGAAGAGGTTAAATATCACTAAGGACTCCCCCCCGCCAAACACTACACCACCCTAAATATATTTAATGATTTGCCCATACTTATTGACTATTCCATATTTTGTACATATTGTTAAATGTCACATGTCTTGTCTTGTGTTTTGTTCGCACCACTCAGGGAGCTGCGATGTCGATCTTCTTGTACTATCTTGTACAATGACAATGAAGAACTGAATCTTGAAAAGCACAACTTCAAAAGTATATCACTGAAGACCCTTTTGCAGTAGGAGGAAAGTAGCCATGGTGAATACAGGGGCAAACACTTGCCAACATCAGCTGCGGGACGCAAGCTTTCGCACGTTTTAGCTGACGTTGCCGTTTCCAGGGTTTGATAAAGAGCCCACATGACATTCAGAGCGTCGCTAACGAGGATCCATACACAGATCCGGCAAAAAAACAACCTCTCATTAAAATAGTCCAACTGACTGCAATATCCGGGGCCAGTATGAATGTCACAGTTGTACTATGATATTCACAGAGCCATGGCAGACCAGCTAATCAGCTATGGATAATTTTTATTACCCAGAGCCCAAAGAAAGAAAAGGAATGTCAGTGTGTAGATGTGTGAGTGGAGTGTGTCTGTACAGGCACATACATGTGAAGGAAGGCAAGGATTGGGTAAGGACCAGCTACACCCACATAGGTGCGTTCCTCCTCCAGGCCAATAAAAAGTCCCGAAACAGAGAGGACTACATGAAGAGCTTGAGACGGTCCTCCACATTGGATGGTGGGGTACTGAGCAGAGGCCTTAGGCCACGGAGCAGGGAAATAAATAAATATCCAGCAGACATCCAGGCACCGCATCAGGGACATTTCATGAATTATTGAAGCCTCTAAAGGTTCTGCTGAGACGTGGGAAGGCTGGCAAGTCATTTCAGTGGCAGAGAGGAGAGCATTTCCGCACACCCAGCCTCCACCCCCAGCTGACAAATCGGGGTGGAGAGTTCCTCGCCTGTTCGAGGCAGATGCCAGCCGGCTGAGGGTGGGGCGGGCGTGGCAGGAGGAAGGCATCTGGCACTCAGGTCTCTGTCTTTGGGGGGGGTGCTGGGTGCAGGAATAAAAGTGCAGCAGGCCCCTGTTTGCCGCTCTGCACCCAGCCACCAAAACATCACAGGCCTCGCCTAAGTTCAGATTCACCTTAAGACCATGTTGTAGGGTGTATTGCTGTATCGTTGAAGCAGAAAATACCACAGTGTATTGGATTAAAATACAAAACAGTCAATGATCTGATAGACCCTAAGAGTACTGCTGATGTTCACATTGTTCCTGTCACACGATACATTATGCCAATTCAAATGTAAGAACAAATTTCAACAAGTATTACCGATAATGGTTCAAAGTTTAAAAACTCGATACCTTGACGGCTTATGCAGAACATACAATATAATACCGATGCTATTTTCAGAAGGTTAAACTGTCAGACAGCTTTTAGCTTTTTGTATGGAATAGCTGGTCAAGCAGCTGCTCACAGACAATAGCACACTTTCCTGATAGTGGGCAGGAGTGCCCAGTTGATCGTGGGATGTTTTCTGGTGTCTCGCAAGATGATTAATGGAGACTACTTTATTTCATTGGTGGCCAATTGGTCAACAGCAAAATATTCCCCCCACCCCCCTGTTTGGCGGTAAAATATACCATCTTCAGGCAACAGCTGGTCAGATTATTTTCTTTGCAAAAGTAGCTCTTACTGTAAAAAGCACCACTGCCTTATAGTGCTTTTCCACTGGCATACAGGAACTGACCTATACTCCAGCTGTACCGCGATGAGAGACTAGCCACAGCACGGTTCCAGTTCACTTCGGTTTTCCCCTACAGAAGGGTCGGCTCAGTAAAGGTGTTGCCAGTTTTGAAGAGCGACAGTGATGTAAAACCAGAGAGACGCTTATTTACTGTTCACACACGGTGTACATCATTATTTACTATGTGCAACTATTTTTTTTTACTGTGTGCTAATTTGCACTAGCACATCTGTGATGATCGCTGTGTTATGCAATTATCAAACACTAACGGAATTAGGATTTGATTGTGGAAATTTGCATTATGAATCCATTACGTTCGGCTGCTCCGTAGTACTTTTTTAACATTAGAACTGCCATTTCCTACGCCAATGACCGTCTAACTTCTTTAACCTCCAAGCGAGACGTCCTTCGGCATATGCAGCCCTTTTGTTGGCGCTAATGGGCCATTAGTGTTAATAACAGCAGCGAATCTAAGACTCATAACCAAAAAGCCGTAATGTTCCTAACAGAGTGGCTGCTCTGTTCTGAAATCCTACAGCTGAAGTTTCCAAACGCAGTATTTTATAAAATGTTGGATAAATAGACAGTGACTTCATGTTTGTCAAAGTTTTCGCTTTTTAACAACTGTATGAAGTAATGTTATTTTTTATACAAAATCAACAGGTGAAACAATTAATGTACATTTTCAGGGTTGGAAACTCTCGTGGCATCTGGTGTGACACTTTCAGACTCGCATTATGCAAGAAGTCTTACAGCAAATATATATTATTCCATCATTAATCTCAAATAATCTACATAAAAACCGTTGGAATGGTTTGCAAACCCTACAGACTATTTACAAGGTAATAAAACTGTAACATGCATGTGCATGAATGTGCAGACTTGTCTCAAACCGAATATCTCCAGACAGCTGACCAAAGTTGGCAACCCCGTGTTTTTCTTTAATGCAAAGTAAAATGCAGTGTTTTCAGCTGAAGTGGCTTGTCATTCCATTTGCGTTGCTACTCCAACAAATATAAAGCGAACATGAGAATACATTACATGCCACATTTTATATCTTTTTCAAAGAAGACCACCCATACCCTACTATAACAGCGATTAAAGTGATCAGTTCTTTTGGTATTTATGTTATAGTGAGGCTTTTCTTTTATTACTGGCGTCGGATTAAGATTAATATCACAAGATTAATCTATCGAAACCAATACTTAAATCAAAGAGCACTAAAATATATAACATAAAGACAACTGTATTGTGGGTTTTATGCCTTTTTTGGGGTGACAGCAACTCTGCAGCTGTGAGGATTACGGTCTCGTTGTTTTTTCGATGGGACAGCTGTATGCTAATGCCACAGCCCATTAACAAAAACAAAGGTGTGATACACTGAAGTATGTCGCTGCTGGCGGTTAAAGGAGGTCACGACAGTTCTAGTGTTAAGTAAGAAATTTCCCTGTTATGGAGAATGCATCAACACATTACAATGTGCAAAACTACTAATAATGAATAATATACAGAATCTATGCTTTTTCCTTCAGATAATCCATGCTCAGAACAACAGTCTCTCCGTGCATTTCGACCAATTAAATGATGGTGATGCAACAAGTTCAGTTTGGCCACACTTTTGACCTGCTATTAAGCAGGGCCATGTGAGCATGGGCACAGTACGGCCCTGTCGGCACGGGTACGGCTTGGATATGGCTCACATACTTTACAGTGGAAAACCACCAGTTGGTAGTATGGCTCAGGTATGGCTTGATTCTTGGTGGCTGTAGAAAAGCACCTTTATACTGCCCACAGTGCTGGGAATCAGGAGAGCAGGAGGAAAGACACATAGACAGGCAGACACACAGCAATCTACAAGACTCTGCAGTTTCAACATCTCAGATTATATCAACTCACAAATGCTGTCTCCATGAAACAGACAAAAACAGGGGGAAAAGCACAGCACAAATCAAAATCACTACAGGGCCCTCAGCTCCAGCAGAACTTGTCTGTCCAATGCTATGCTCACAAGCCACCCAAAGACAATAAAACTCTGGGAGGAACTAATAAAACAGTACACACAATATGACTGCTGACAGAATGGACATTGACAGCATGACTCTGAAACAAAACACAGGAGATCAGGAAAGGAAGTTCATTTGTCATAGGAATCTGCAAGGCAGAGACACACACTAGGCCAATGAAGAACCACCCAAATCCTTCTCTTAGCTCATGACAAGCACTTACAAATACTTGTTGCGTCACAGTTTATTTATTTTTTTTGGCTTGATTTTATAGCCGAGTCTCTCCCCTGGGCTCTCTTTGAGGAGACATTAAAAGCGGAGTGAAGCTGCACTCAGAGTCATTAACCTTTATGGGAAAGAACCCTGCAGGGGGGAGGCCCCCCCCCCCCATCGCCAGCACACTCCAGCAGTCATTCGCCGCATCTCGCCTGCCTGCGGGGAGCCTCTCAGCTTCACGCCTCACTTTTCTCTTACAGCCACTTCTTATGGCTGCTGTGTGCAACAGCTCAGCCCAGTGATTTACTAAGCGTGGGGGGGGGCACAAGGATCCATATTTTTACCCCGGCGGTGCAAGTATGCAGCCCAGCAGTTAAACTGTGGGGCAGCTGGCACATGCCCCCCATGCAGGCCCCCCTCTCTGCAAAGGCAGCATGAATGACCCCACATTAGGACGTGTCCCCTCCACTCGGACAGGCTCCCTTCCTTCATTTGTGCCAGGACACGATGCCCTATAGTTGTCCATTTGCTCCCTTTATTCCATAACTTACCAATTTCTTTTCCTCCTTTAACAAGAGCAACACCTCTTACCTTCTTATATCAGATAGCTACCCCTGTACAGGGACAAAGCGTGTTCAGTTTAATTACGTCTTTTTGAAATATGATAAACCCAATATCACAAGACTCTTTTCAAGCCAAAGATGAGATAAGAGCAGACTGAAATTAAAAAGGAGGTGTCAGGCACCTCAGAAGAAAGCATACAACTGTTTCTTTTACGTAAAAATGACACCCTTGACATCCAAAGCCAATGCGTCTAAGGGAGAGATCACAGAGGGGGAGGTGGGGAGGTGCGAGGCTGGGGGAGCTGATCTCATTGTCGTCTCGCAGGTGCAGCAAAGAGAAGCA